TAAAGAAATCAACGAAAATTATACTTGTTTTGGAAGAAACGTTGTTGTTGTGACTGACTTCGAAAATTCGCTTATCGCTGTTTTAAGAAAATACAAAACTTTTGGTCTAGAGCACAAAGGATGCCTTTTTCATCAACATCAAGCCATATGAAAGTTTATCAATAATGCTGGACTTAAATGTGAGTATTCTTTAAATACGGAATTCAAAGCTTCAGTGAAAATATTAGAGTCCGTGTGCTTTCTGAAAGAAGAAGATATTAGTCAAACAGTTGGTATTTTAACGGCGTGGTATTCTCATATACCTTCATTTGGGATAGTTGTGGAATACTTCAAAAAAGTGTGGATAAATGGCGCGTTTCCCATTTCATTGTGGTGTCAATTTATGAGAAAAAAGGACTAATAATGATTGTGAGTCTTACCACGCCGCGCTCACCAGGAGGCTTGAGTTCGTGAAACCTGGTTTCTGGAAGTTCGTTGAAAAAATCGGAGAAGTGATAGAAGACGTTAATAAAGATCTAAAAACATGAAAAACGGACATTATAAAAAATCAAACAGTAAAGTTGAAATAATATATAATACACTTAAAAAATTAACAACAAATTATTACTGTGGTGAAATCAATTTAAATTGTTTTTTCGAAAAGGTAAGTGTGCTATTTGATGGCTTGAATCATGAAGTTTACTTCGAATTCGAAAATTGTGAACAAAACGAGACGGAAAATGTTACAAAAGAAAATTGTGTAGCTTGTATCAATGAAAATGTTGTTGATATAAACACTTCAACAAATGGTAATATGTTTGAACGCGAAGACTTTATCCAACAAACAAGACTTGAAAATAAAAATCCAACTAAAATTGTTGATATTCAAAATACAAAGAAAAAATTATAGGTGAAAAAAGCCAAGAAAAATAAGAAGATCTATAATCCAAGAAATCAAAAAAGAGTGTAGAAAAAACAAAAACAAAAAATTAATTAAGTAATTTATTTTTTTTAAATATTTTAATGAAATAAAGTTAATAAAAGTTAATAAAATGATAATTCAAATTTAATAATTCGGGTTGTAGTGATTATAATAGAGCCGAAGTAATTCAAATGACATCATATAAACACAATAAAGAACTTTAAATTTGGTATATTTTTACATAAAACATGTTAAAAATACATTTTTGAATACAAATGGTTATTTAAACAAATTGCATTTCAAATTCACTTTTGAAAAATACATCATTAAATTATATACTAATTAATTAAATATTATTTTATTTATAAATTTGATAACAATTGTTTATAAATTGTTTGGTTAATTGAATCAAGTATTTTTGTTTAAACAAAAATAATACTTATGAGACTTTTCCAATAATACAATGTGTGAATTTACACGAACGTTAAGTTGTGTATTTTTATTTGTTGCTTTAAAAAATACTCAAAATATTGTATGTATAACCAAAGTTACTGGTTCAAGTAATATTTCTATTTAATAAGATTTAATAGCGTAAAATAAAAACAAAATACGCAGAGTTGTAATAATATATAAATATATTTATTCATACAATTTACAATTTATTTATTGTCGACAAAAATATATTTTTATAAAAGCTTGACAAAAATACA